AAGCAAGCAGGCAAGCAAGAGCAGGTGCCGACCTCGAAAGAGTCAAAAAGAGTTCGACGTGCCTGTCGACGGGGGATCTCCAATCACTACCGTTTCTACGGTACGTCTGCGTGGCGTAGGTACCTACGTGGGAGCTACTGCCTTCTACCGTCTCCTTTTCTCTCATTGTTTTACATTCTATCGTCTGCTACCGCGTGAGATCGCTGAACAGGCCTACCCTAAATGAATGACTCTCAGCCTAGAGAATCCAATCGCTGTTGGAATCACGGTAAGAAACTCGCACGCCGTGGGTGCATTAATATTACAACATATTTTGATTATAGTCTCCGAATATTATGACGAGGGCAGGTCACGAACTGATCAACTTCGATTTTAAAGTGCTTTTTGTAGGATGATAACAGATCCCTTTTGGTGTATGTGAAATATCAGGTGCAGATACTCGACACTTTTTGAGATATAAATAATTGTTCCATATTAATTATTTCTACTCCAGAAAGTATCAAGTATCTGCACCTAATATTTCACAAACACCAAAAGGGATCGCTCATTATATTTCCGGTAAGGAATTTTTTTTCTCGAAAATGCGTAGGATTTCGGGGCTATGTCTATTCACCAAAAATGTTTGTAATTGACCCCCGCGACCAACAATAATTTTTCCAGAATTATTTGAAACTTTTCATTTTCGCCGAAAAATTTCTACACTTACTCGAATTATTTTCTCAAAAGTGGTTAGGATTTTGGGGGTATGTCTATTGACCAAAAATGATTGTAATTGATCCCTGCAATTAAAAATAATTTTTTTTAGAAGACTTGAAATTTTTTAATTTTGTCGAAAAATTTCACACCTACTCGAATTTTTTTCTCAAAAATGGTTAGGATTTCGGGGGTATGTATATTCATCAAAAATGCTTATAATTGACTCCTGCAACTAAAAATAATTTTTTTAGGATGATTTAAAATTTTTTAATTTCGCCGAATAACTTTTCCACGTTCTATTATACTTGTTCGGATAACCGGGTGTCAGATAATTCGAACACTACTATACCAATTTTCTTGATATCGCGATAAACCATTCCTAGGGTATAAAACGATATAGTGATCGACATTCCAACGTTTCGTATTTTTGTTTTAAAAAACAAAATTCAGTTCATAAATTTTGAGATAAGCAGTACCTAGTACGGATACAATACTGTATCAATTAAGAGAATTGCCTAGGGTCTACTGATGGTCACATATCGAATAGTCTCCAAGTGTCGCGATTATTTCTCTGCAGTCGAGAAAAGATATTGGTTTGATCGCGTTCTCACAGTAATCGCTGGGGGGAGTGGACCTCCCGCTATTTTCTTAATCTGGGCCCTCGTGAGAGACAAACGACCGTAAACACAGAGCACCACGGTGCCCGCGGTGCGCGAAAGCGAGAATGCTAGCTACCCTTTTTCTTGGCCAGGCGTGCCTATAGAATCCTACGCGAGGAGCGTTAACCCCCGTCGATGGTTTGGTCGAATTGCCCCGGCGTACTTTCACGTCGGAACGTCGCTCCCTGACCTCAAGCGTCTTTTCTTACCCTTCGTTTCTATTCTCCGCCGCCATCGCGTTTGTCGCTCTTTAGTCTTTTCCATGTTTGCGGGTGGTCGTGGCTGGTTCTCATGGCTCGTCTCACGATCCGCGCCACTTCGAAACCGTGGACTCCGTGTGTCCCACGCTGATCTAGAACTTTGCTGGACGTCGAGTCAGACCTGACAGCTTTGTTTCGCAGTTTCGCCATGATTCTGTACTTTGGAACCTTCATTGGAATCTTCATTCGCAAATAACGCATCAAAATTTGTTTATTTTTTAAATCGATACCCACGCGTTCGATACTGTCTGATACCAGATTATAATTTGCGGACTGGTGTCGATAGTATTGTATTATTTTGGTATCGTGTCCTAAATTTTGAGCTTTTCTTTGATACGTTTCATTTTTACTCGAAGGTAATCGCAGTCGTGATTTCTTTCTTAAGAGTTAGCACCGGATGTATGCATGCTGAATTTCACAGTGGAACATTATCGTCGACGATTCTGATGCAAGGGTAGATTTATCTGATTGGATAAAGTCGTTAACAATGCAACTGCAATACCGTCTTTGCCTTTGTTTCGGAGGCAACATAACGTAATAATTAATCTGCTGAGAATAGAATACTCGATGGGTGTAGTGTTACACCGCGCGCAATCATTACTTCATCACGTGTTTTAATAATATTATGTAAATGAACTGGTCTGGGCGAAGCTATTGCAAGAATATATTTCCATTTTAATTAATTACAACGCTCGATAAAAACACCTGCGTGAGACTTTGTACAAATACCTTGCAAAGGCTGGTGGAAACAGTCTTCAAACTTTGTGTAATGTGCGAAGACAACAAATGTATTTCACGAAATTATAATTTACTCGATAATCCAATTTCTCAAAATATAGTGGCGAACCTCGTGTAATTATTTTGACGATTAAATAAAAAAGTCAAGATGGCTCATTACACTTTGCTAACAAAAAGGACAACCAAGTAGAAGTTAAAAAGATCAAAGAATAAAAAGTATCCAAAACTGTACTATATCTATTCATCTTAGAATTTAATTCAATTTATTACATAAACGAAAACGTGAAAAGCAATACTAACTTATGCCTAACTGGGCTGTTCCATCGTTGTTGGATTAATCTTCAATACGATTACATAATACCAGAATCTACCGTCTTCGCGACCCTCCTGCCTCCTCTTCAGCTACAAAAATAATCACACACCGAAGGGTTATTTAAAACGTGTTTATTAAAAACCAGCGCAGTCCACGACGCCATTCCTAAATGGCAGACGCTTTTCCTCGCACATTTTCTAAAAATAAAGCATCGCCGGATGAAAACAAGGAACTCGTCGGAGAACAAGGGTGACAGACTGAGGGGAGGAAGTAAAAAAAAAACGACGAAGGTAACTTCCGGAAAAGTTAATATCCCGTGGGAAGGATCACGCGCCGATTGATTTGGTTCAAGTGCAGGCGTCTCTGTCACGAAGCGAGAACAATGAGAGGGAACGATCGAGATCTGGACAGGAAACTTTGTTTCTCGAAGCTGTACGGTCCCTCTCTGTTTCTCTTTTCCCCGACTATCGAACGTGAAGCGAAGTTCAACCCAGAAAATGGAAAATAGATACTTCGCGAGAGTTTAGGAGTGTCCAAAGAAACTCGTCTCGGGATTCACGAGAATCGTTCCCTGTTCAGAGACCGAGAACGAAGGGAGGGGGGCTTTCAAACAACCGCAGCTCTCTTACCAACTGGTCCCGGTCTTAAGATCGGCGGAGTTTAATTGGTCTTGACCGTTTGGCCGGAGTAATTGGCCAATCTAAAATTTGGTTCCAACCTAGACGCTCTTGCGTCTTGAAGGTACTTAGCGTCATCGAAATCCCTTTGTTCTCGACCGAGATCAGCCCTACTTAAGGTTTTGAAAAGTTTACCGAGGATTTGCCGAGACCACCCGCACGATCCGCTCGAATTGTTTCGGTATCGATCACTGGAAATAATATTGGTGGATGGAAACGTCGACTGTACCTCGTTGTTCGAAAATTCAATTTTGCGTAGTACTTTACGAATGTAAATATTGTTGCACTAGGTGTAGAGTGTGCTCCATTTTGTGAAGAATAGCTACCATGAGCTAATATGGCGTCGCCTGCTAATGAAGCCTTTTTTGGATAACGAAAATTCTAGTTAGTTACGTTTATTCTATAGTCGCAATTGTTTGATTTGTTACAATTTAAAAAATATCGACGGACCAGTGATAAAATTTTAAATATTCTGAACGTTCGTCTCAGTTTAAATTGATTGTACAGGTTCGCCAAGACCTGCCACCTAAATTATTCGAAAACCATTTGTTACGTGGAAAAATATGAAACAGAACACACTCTTTGCTATTTTCACTGCTGCGAAGCATTACTATATTACAATCGTGGCAAAATTGAGAAATTTGGACAAAATGGAGGATCTTATCATCGACGCGATCGATTTTCTCGGTTTATTTTATTCGATCATCTTTTTTTCTACGTTTTATGCGTATCTGTGCGTTGGTCCAGTACGACTAGACATCGTTGGGAATTAAACGAAAAGCGAATTTTGTAATTTTATTGCGTCGGGCAGGAAGAAATTGGCCGCGGCGGTTGTGGGATACGATGAAAAGCAACCATCGAGGAGAAAGGGAGAACATTTTGATGGGTTGGAACGTGGCTGTAGAATTTCAGGAGGATCCTGACGAGGGATTGGTTGTGTCGGAGTGAACTTATGAAACGGCCAACCCCGGTAGAGTCGAGCGAGATATTAAATTTCTGGAATTTTGCGGTTAGGCGCGTCTACATGCCGACGGTTCTCGCACCAATACACTCTCCTGTCTATGCTCGCGTCCACGTGCCACGACTAAGGTAATTCTTACACAGAATTTCTCCTATTACCTTCTCGATACAGTCTTTCGAACGTCATACGTGCACGAGTATAACGGTATCAAACAAAATGATCCGTTTTACACTCGCCAGCTAGCTAACTTCGAAATCTACAATTACTGTTCAAAGTATACAACAAGAACACAAAATTTCTTATATATTATTTATCTCTAGTTTTCGTCAGATAAGATACACCAAGGCATAAAATCATAAAATTAGATCAGAAATTTGAAATTTCTAAAACGATCGGAAAACTTATAAATCTCTGGTACTTATCAATTTTGAAATTACGTAAATACTACACACGATAGCGAAGAACACGAATATTATAAATATTATAAGTTCTTGATGTCAAGTTTCACAATCATGAGGCACTCACTGGTCATCAAGACTTATATATTAAAAATCAACACATTTTTACATTTACGAGGTATTCGTAAAACAAATCTATTCTTTCTCTTAATTATTTGAAATTAAATCGTACGTCAAGGGATTAATAATTAAACACAGAAGAGGCTTGCACAATAGAATAGACGAATTAATAGCGTGGTAATCATCAGTTTTATTGTTGCGTCAACCCTAAGTTACAATTACGATATAGATTCGACCCATTATATCTACACATGTACGAGTTCGGAGAAATTGAATTAGTACGCGTCGGGATCCTCGTCAGAATACATAAATTTACACATAAATACACGAAAATTTCGTTCTCTTTCGATCTTACTGCAAGGTCAGAAGGTATCTGGACTCGCTGGCGGGTACTTGGTAATTAGTCGTGTAAGTAGTGTAGGGGGAGCTCACTGGGCCGGTGGGCAGCGGAATGACGCCGGCTGGATTGTCGTATTGGTATTGCACTTGGCTGGCAACCGGGTTGATTTCGAGTTTCTGCGGTTTCGAGTCTGCAGACGCAGCTGCGATCGGCGCGATCGGCGCGACGGATACTTGGAGACCAGCTGGCAGTATTTGCAGCTTCTGTAGGGGACTGTAGGCGTAGATGGGCCCGCGAAGAGGTTCCACGTTCTCAGCGCGAATCTTCGCGAAGTACTTCATGGCCTCGATGTTCTGACGGCTGATGTATCGCACGCGCTGAAGACGTCCGTCAGGGAGGGCGATGTAGTACTCGCCGGACTGCTGTGGCTGCTGCTCGTCCACGTCTTCGTCCTCGAGCTCGTTCACGGAGTTCACGGGCTCGGACTGGAAAAAAAGAAACGTCAAGTTGGTCTGGAAACTATGAGTGGTCGCGGAACACCGGAAAGATTCTGGCGCGGTTCTATTTAGATTTGAAGTCATCGTTTTTCGGCCGATCTCGAGGCCTCGAATCACGGTCGACTGCATTACAGGTTGCGTAACACCGGTTTTGAATTTGGTAGGGGCACACGCGTGCCTGAACAGCGATCGAAAGTAAACGATGACTTGAATACAAATGTCGTTAAGAGCGTAGCAACGAGAGACGGAAAGGAACGAGAACGAGGGAGGATGCGGAGGATCGACGTGTGTTAAAATTCCGCGCGTATCCACGTCGAGTCCTGTAGGCTCGTGCCAAACCGTCTGCATTCCTGCGTTCCTCGTTCTTGTTGCAGCGAACTACAACAAATCCAATAACACGTAATACGACGTTTCGGTGAAAATCTAATTCGACCGTTTGTCTGGAGGTTTCCGTCCGCGGAAAGGAATCGTGCAGAGTCGCGGTAAATTTAACCGGAACTCTCGCCAAATTCTTCCGTTCGGCTTTCGTTGGCTTGGAACTCCTCTCACCTCAGACTCGGTGACGCTTGTGACGGTACTGGCGTCGTCCAGTTCGGTGGTGCTGGGCACTTCGGTGGTGGTGGCTTCTTGAGGCGCTCCGTACTGTTGCTGAGGCGCTCCATACTGCGACTGAGGCTCGTTGGGTGATCCGTATTGCTGCTGCGGCGTGCTGGGTCTTCCAAATTGTTGCTGACGTCCGTTGAATCCTGCATATTGCGGCTGAAACGCGCCAGGTCCACCGTACTGTTGCTGAGGAACGCTGGGTTCTCCGTATTGTTGTTGAGGTGCTCCGTATTGCTGTTGAGGTGCTCCGTATTGCTGTTCAGGCGCTCCGTATTGCTGCTGAGGCGCCTGAGACTCTCTCTGGGGAAGATTAAAGGCTGGTCCAGCTGGCCTCGATCCGGATGCCGGGTAAGGTGCTTCAGCTGGGGTTTCTTCTTGCTGTTTAGCGAAATAATACTGCCTCTGTTGTGGACGGTACCTTGGTGGTTCTGCAGCAACTGCAGCGACCAGGAGTGCGACAGCCAGGAATACCTGTTCGTTAAATTAATACTTTTTAATTATATTCCATGATCTTTTGTTAGCTATTTGTATATGTTCAGGATGAAATTAATTATGCCTTTGTGAGTATATTTTCTCGTGGAACTTAAAGACTGTCGTTTCGACACGACTAGTAAATTATAGTTACTTTGAACCGATTGAGCAGTAATGTTTGGTCGAGTGATAATAAATGTGAATAAGAGTTAATTTAAATTGTAACGCGGATGTTTGAAAGATGTCATGAGAGAAGCTACCTTCATTGTAGTGGTAGTATGTTACTCGATTGACTTTTAGAGTTGACTGATTTCTGATGCCCACCAGCCGTGGATTATATACACTGAGTCCAGTATGTGGTCTGCATGTTTAAGGAGATCCTCGTCGGTTTGCCGGCCGTCGGATGACATTGACCTCCTAAAAGACTGATGAATCCTCGATCATTGTTGGCTCATCATCCGGTGGCGTTTTACCTTCGCTTTTTTTCGGTGTTTCGAGACACGTTCTTTATAAAAGAACTTATTTTTCAACGCCTCGAATCTCATTATCCTCTTCTCCGCATACCTCTTCAGCTGCTCACCCGTTCTATTGCTTATTTTCTTCAGGCTTTGGAGCAATAATTTATCTTTTTATTTTACAATACTAGTCAAGAATCATATATCTCGTGAGAGTTTACCAATTATCTAGAAAAGAATGAATCAGTCTAAATCAGTCTGTGACTGGAAGCACTAGTATTACATTCGCCTGATGAAACGATTCTATATTGTATTTTATTATTATACAATAAACCTTCGTTGACCAAGAACAGATAAGTTTGATCGAAGTAATAATTTCTAAACTAAATACGCAATGAGAATCAAAGCTGAAGCGTGGTCGTTGTTAGTTTCGTACATCTTTAGGGTTGATAAATATTTCGAGAATTTCGAGAATAACCATCGTGTGACGAAACGTCAAAAATAAGTCCACGCGAGGAATCTCTGGAGGTCGGGTAAAAATTTCTAAGACACACATTAACATTCCGCGGGTCATCAACTGAATCACCGAGAACTTGTCATACATTGTCCATGGCCGATTCCCCCTCATTGAAGAACGACGACCGATCACGTCGATCGTATCAATGCGACCGGCGAGTCTCTGTCGGGGATCCCGTCGATTATGCAGCGATTTAATTTTAACTCCGTCGAATTTGCAAACGCTCGCAGTTCTAATCGATTCCGCGCACGGATCACGCGTGACTATGATCTTTTTTCGTGCTAATAAATTCAGCGGTGGACTCGGTCTAGCTAGGAGAAAAGGAGGATGGAGGCGACGTGCACGACGACATCAGGGTCGGGCGTGCGATCGTCCTTCTGAATTTATAATGACAGATACACTTCTGTTCGCGATATATTCGCTTTCCTACTTATAATAGGAGACAAAAAGAACTGTAGCAACTCGTAAATTGTTCCGATTAACGTTTAATTCGTCAAATGTGGTATTTATTGGAAAATATTATTGCACGAATTGTTTCAATACTGCTTGATATGTATTTTTTGTTCATTTTTATGGAGGCACAAGTTCACAGACTTTTACTATTATTGACTCTCGTAAGATATTAGAGGTGGAAGATTTGGGGATACATTTTGATAAATTATATTCATAATTTACAATAACTTTTGTTATATTCATTTTTACTATAAATGAAATATCGTACAGCTCGTAGGGAAAATTATGTGATTTATCTTAGATCCTAGGACAAATTACATACTTTATATTACGATTGTCCCGTTTCATTTGTACATAAATATATGTGTACGTTGAATAACGCCTCCTAATTATCGCGTCATCGATAATAGAGGCAGCTCGATGAGTTAATTCATGCGTGTGCGTTGAATACAGTCGCTCTACAAACAGAAAATAAGAAATTCGCGAATAAATAATTACTGTTTACTTCGATAATGTCTATATTGACCACACACTTTTTACTCGTTTTGCTAAACGAACTATAAGTTAGCTTATTTTTGAACCAGCTTTATTTTGAAATGTTCGTATCTCTTAGTTCCATGGATCGTAAAAATAAGGAAAAATATTCGCATAAATACGCGCCCAAAATATCTTTTAGATTCAATGCATGCACGGACTCGTCTTGTCACGGATCAAAATATTGTTACAGACATCCATAATACAACGACGAGTCATTATTTCGTATGGCGACTGCGTACACGCGAACTTTTAAGTGCTATCAATGCTGCAACGAAATTTTCACTGCTTCGTGTCTCACGTTACTAAAAATAAAATCGAAACGTCCAGGCATGTTTCAATCCTGTTAAAACAGTACATTCCATACATTTATACAGATCTATCCATTCTCGATAGAGGCTTCAACACCCATACTGAGATATAATACTATTTTCCTTTACCAGACGATTTAGAGATGTGCAAAGAAGGGGAGGAATGAAAAAAATATTCAGTTTACTAGAAATAAATTTATTAAAACCGTTAGAACAAACAAAGTACAATTATTTAAAATTCTCAGTGATTTTAATTAATACAAGGTACAATAAACATATAGCATAACCATTAAACAGGTATCTATAACAAAATTAGACATTTTCGTCCGGAGGTCTATCGATTCTAAATTTTCGGTAATGAATTATAACGTTTATAATAGCGTTAGGATGCTGTCTGACGCTTAGGGGAAGTCCCCTCGTAGATTAACGCGAACATAGAAGAAAAAAAAAGAATCGTACTGCAAAAGGGGTTAACGGACGATCTGGTTCATGCTCTCGCGACACGGGGCTGGTTGTGCGCAGTGACAACGTGGGAATACCGATTTAACGTAAAATCGTCGAAAAGTTCGAATCGGTTGCCGTGACTCGCGAAACGTGGCAATGTCGAAGGGCGATCGTAAGAGAGACTAACTGGCAGAGAAGAGAAGGCAGGATAGCGTGGAGTCGTTGGTAGGGGGCTAGGAGGGGTGGCCTGGGTAAAGCAAATTATTCACACTCAAACGACTCCATTTCAATATCGGACCGAGGCCCAGGGACAAAAGAAGGGCGAGATGCCTGTCTCCCTTCTGCTTTCGCTTTGCCAGTACCCGGCAGCCCGATACCTTTGGCTGTAGCCTGTAGGCTTAACTCTCCTCTTTTTTTACCCTCCCTCCCGTCTTCTCGCCCCCTCCGATCCCAACCTTTACCGCTGCCTCTTCTTCGCGCTCATATTTCTCCGTTATTCCGGCACTACTTTAACTCCCAACCCCTCCTGCATCGAGCGAACATCGAGAACGTAACCACAGTGACTCCGAAAACTGTTCGAGTTTCGTTACGTGGACGACGAATCGACCTCGACGATGGTTCTTTATCTGTTCTACTCGCAGGTGTGTGTGTGACCAAACTTCTTGATACGCGAGTAAGTCTTGCACGAGGACTTTCTTTCAGTGTGTAGATTCATCTTTTGGAGTATGGGCGTGTATTTATGGATTATCTGTATGCACGAAGGTGATTTTGTATGAAACTCGTTGAGTGAAATTTTGTCGAAACTACGTAAATATGTATAATTATGACCACTCGTAATCAAACACTATATTGGCGATTCGTTGTAAATGGGGGAAAAAGATTGTTTCTGGTATGAGTCCATTGAGATATTTAAGGATTTGTATTTGAGTAAATACAAAAAGAAGTAACACAGTGTAACGAAAACAACATTTGATAAAAACAAATGGAAAACAAGTTTCTTTCCTTTTACGAGTGAATCTTTAAGTGGGAGTAACTTGTATATATGCTTGTCTAGAAGAAGGCGGATCTTACGAACGCGAAAAGTACAGCCGTGTGGCCAAAAGCGACAAACCAGAGTGCGTAAAAAAGAAAGGAAAGAAAGGGGGGAAAGTCGGAGAAGAGTCCGACGAGCCTCGAGCTTCGTAATTGAATATATTTAAGCGCGGGAGGGACGTTTGTGCGGATTCTCGGCTTACAGGAACCCCATACCGAGGCAACGTCTGCGAGTAAACTGGATTAATCGTCTATGAAGGGAGACTGTAACCCTGCCGCATTCGTTTGCAATCAGATCCCTATGGGGAATTCGAAACAACGAGTTTATGTTGAGCGGGCCTTATTTTCGTTGTTACGTTACACCGATCATTTCTCGCGGAGAGAAAGGATAAAGATACTACGGTTCTTATAATAATCCAATACGATTTAATCGAATGAGAACCCTCTGCATAACACCAAGAGGAACAAATTGATCCCCAAAATGAACCTTCGACACTCGAGACACCCAAGAGCGTCGATATTTTAATTCATTTATTTTCTGGAAACATAGCAGAAGAGTTTTCTATATTTCTGAGAAACTTCTCATTTTTATTTAAACTTATTTAACCCTCAGCTGGAATATTGATATTGAAAGTTTTGTTGACAACGAATTTTTTTAAAATCATTAATTTCATTAACTTTGAAAAGATGATTAATACTTATCTGATACCTCTTTAGAAATATAAGTCATAAATTACAAGACTTTGAATAAAAAAAAAATAAAAAAATATTTGTATTCGAAAATGATATTTTCGAGCCATGATACAAAGATCCCATTGGATAAATCGTTATAATGAGAAAAATGTGACGTTCGAAGCGATAGTTGATACGGTAAGTGTCGATGCGCCTGACATGTGTTCTTAATTAGACCTCCGTTCGTTTGCGTAAGCACACGATCGAAGGCTGAATAACTCGATACCTTAAGCAGAAATTTTGTTTCAAACAGCGTTTAACTCAGCAATTAAACTCGAGCTATCAAAATCGTAAGGATAGTCAACTTCGTGCACACAAAAATTACTTCTTTCAACACTGCATTGCAGAAACTCGAATCACTTTCCACACACATACTTTCGTAGAGGTTCGGTTGATTTTATAATTCTCTGGAGATTTTTTCAATCTTTTTAACACGAAAAACCAGCGAAACAAACAGCGACAAAAGTTGTCCGTCCAATCAAAGAATTAAAACACGTTGTTCGCTGCTTGGCCGCTACCTGACGCAACTTCTAACGATAATTTTACTTTTAGATCCATGACATGATTCGGTCAAGTAAATAGCATCGCTCTTGCCTCTTTCTCTCCCTCCCGAGCACACCGTGCAAACTAAATTCGGCACAAAATCGGCTATTTCGTAAACGTATCCCCGCGCCCGATGACCATTCGATAATTATCGATTCCAAAAACGTTCCTCTCGCTCGACGTTTTCGTGGCTCGCGTTTTCAAGCCGTCGAGCCGCGCGATTTTATTTCGTCGATGTTACCCCTGGGACGAATCATGGGGGATGCGTTAGAGAAATTGTT